CAGCCTAGTCCAATCTTTGAGTGGGTTACCTGCGTAGACAATACTAATGAAGACTCTCTTGCGGAGATAGAGAACCCACTTGTGATTCTTATACTACTCGAGGTATTTATTGACACGACTCACAGTCAGCACAAGCCTAGATAACTACTGGTACGAGTGACGTTGTTAATAATCTATGTATGATAATTAATCACAATAATTTCTATTTCAAATTATTATTATACATAAATAAATGTTAATAAATGTATTAATAAATGTTCAAACATCACTTTTCTTTATTTTATATCTTCTCATAAAACCCTTGTACACATATCCCGAAAGAAAATTATATTATATCATTTTATTCAATAAATATTATAGTAACTCAATTATTCTCATGCTCATACAAGACCAATAATTTGACTAATTTTAATAAATTATTTATAATTATTAATTTTATTTTATATTTCTTTTTTTGAGTTATTATAATACATAAATTAAATAGTTCAATATTAATGTGATTAGAATTATTCATTATATTAGCAAAAAATATTTGTAAATAAATATTAAATATGTCAGCTAAATTATATTTTGATTAATAATGGTCATTTTGACTATTATGATCTAACCAATATCGATTCAAATATTTTTAATTTAATCAAATGATATTTTTATAAAAAAAAATATTGAAGGCGTGGTATGGGCGACCAATTAATCGCCGCCCTAGCACTGTTTGTTGTTAGTTCCCGGATGGGTGACCATACAGACATAATGACAAACGCCTTGTCCCTATACTAGCTATACATAATGAGGTTGTGTAAGGTCGTCAGCCGGTGTAAAAAACCTATCAAATCATAAGGTAGAGCCGACCCCAAATTGTTGGGATAAAGGCTAAGTAGATGATGATAATTTTAGCATCAACTATTGAATATTTAACAACTATAGAATATTACTATCCAATAGTTTTTAAAACTGTTTGAACGTTAAGACTATAGAATAGTTTCGATAATTATCGAATATTTTTACTATTGATTATTCCTCATCACTAATTTTAACCAAAAATAATGAGGGAATCGGTATAAATACTAAAATTTTGTTTTTAAAAAATAGTCAATTAATAATAATTATGAAAATTTTAGTATTATTTTAATTTTAAGTAATTAGTCACTAGTGATCAATGATTATTATATATAATATTATTTATTGGTAAACGATATCAAACAAGTTTAACTGATAGTTTTATAAAAATATATATTTAAAAGATAAAATACAACTATCAAATCATAATTAATAGGATTTACAATAGTGTTCTAAAAGTTTATCCTAACAAAAATAAGAATTTTGATTTATACAGTTATATTTTAAAAGAAAAATGATGATGAAATATTTTCCAATAAATAATATTAATGATATTCCATCTTAATAAATGAATTTGTGAATGTATGAAATATTTAATATAAATTTGATTATATTTTTACTATTTTTAATGATAAAACCTAAAAAAGGATTTTTTTTTTTTGAAATAGCAAAATTATTTTTTGAGTAGATTAACAAACAATGGGTAGGCTCTTAAAAATTTCTTTAAGTTTGTTTTTAACGCATTTGTTATTAACAAAATTAGCATTACCCATTTTGAAACGTAATAGTTTAGTAGGAATATAGGAAATAATAATACTACTAAATAATGAAGTGTATTAATTACTATAATTAACACAACTAATTAACAACCAGGTGTTTTATCGTTTTATAGATAAGATAATTTTTTGTTTTTAATTAGTTGGCATTTTTACTAACTCATTTTACTACAATTTTTGTTGTCATTCATAACAACTATAAATGCCATTATGTAAACATCTATTAAGATAAATTTGTATGAACATTTTAAAAACTAAGTAAATAAATCTAATTTACTTACTAGAGGATCTAGAGATTTAGGGAATTATATGACTTTTAACAATCAAATATTAAGGGTCACCTTCAATTAATTATTAAGTTAGTTAATAATTTTTCAAATAAAAGAGTTTAATACCACCTAAAAATTTGTCTTGAAAACGCATATAAATTTTCATATTAAGTAATTTTTGAGAATACTGGTCAAAAATCAACTGACAGTGAGTTTTGTCTATGTTTAAAAATAAAATTCGTTTTCTTACTACAATTATTCAAAATTATGAATGATATCAAAACTTACATCTCTGAAACATAAAGTTTATTTTTATGTACAAAAAAATTATAATAAATTAATCATATACTTTAAAATGAATCAAAAAACTTATGATCATTGTATTTTTCATGATCTTTGATAGTCCCAGAAAACGCAGTAGTTTGTATAAAATAAATGATTATGTATACCATTTGTAAATTTTATACTTTACATTTATTTTTTAATCTACTCAGACTTCCGGTGTCTAGACATTAAATATAATTATTCTTGTGGACATCAGCAAACATCAAACTAACCGCTGATGATGATTTCTTATTAGTTAATATTTATCCTCATTTTTTATTTATAAGAATTTCTAATAGTTATGAGCTTAATACAAAATATACTCATATACCAGAGTTTATAATATTTAAAAATTTTATTTATGTTATACGATCGTATACATTCAGAGCTAAATATAGACGAAACTAGGCTGTACATTTGAAAAATCAATTATTTATCCAAAACCGTCATCATATTGATTTTTTTATTGTTCTAAGGGCCTACAAAGGTATAGACATGTTAAGTACTTATTAAAAATATAATCAATTGGTAAATGTAACTCCTAGCATGGTCAGTGGCGAATTTACAAGAAGGTTTGTGGGTTTGGACAACTACCGAAGACCGATAATTTTACATTAATTAATATGTAGAGTAAGACTTTGATACTTATTGCAAGTCATTTTTATTCAATACCCTCCTCCCAGAAATATGTTGAAAGTCCGTTACTGAGTTTGTATGTAGTCTACGTTGTTTTTTTTAGCGAAGTTTATATATATTGGTATCTTTGGGTATATCGTGTTTGTAATTGAAAACTACCAACTCCTTACACATAAAAGTTTTAAGTAATCTTCATGCGAAAATGATGACTACAAACTTTCCCGAGTTACCACAGCTGTGGTCAAGAACTATGTGTTAAAAATATATGTGTAATATAAAGTTTGCACCTGTGTAAACTATAAATTATTATAAAGGACGATAATATAGGATAACATTGCTTATAGTTGTTAAAATTTAATGAGTTTCATAAGGTTAGGTTGAAAGCTTAAATTTCATCAGCTTAAAAATTAAATTTAAAAAAAAAGGCAAATATTTTTATTTATATATTGAACAAACCCTAAAACGGCTACTCTATATACTAGGACCGTATTATTTATTAGGCACTATAGGCACTGTAGCTAGGGCACAAACAAATTTGTTTTTAAGGTATTTTTTTTACTTATCATCCACGTTAAAGTACTATTTTCAGTATGAAAATATAATATAACAAAATAGTTAGTTTCTTATAGTCCCTAAGTACTTAACAAATAGCTTAATCCGATCTTGTTTCTCACAAAGCCTCGCAAATAAAGTCGATTTGTAACAAAAAATTCAGTTTCTCAATCCAATTAAATAAATATTATTCTTCATTGCCCATTAATACAATATATTTTTAAAAATAGAATTGAACACTCCGTAATTATAATGCCGACATAGTAATAGAAAAATGAAAATAAAAGGTGACATAGCTGTTATTTATTTAAATCATAACACTTACTTTTTAATGTGTTATGGCAGTTAAAATAATATTTTAAAAAGGCGCTAATTTGAGGTTAAATAGGGTTAAGATGCAAGTACAAAGGACTTTCGTTGAATAGAATTCGGCGGTTCGTGCCAACAAACAAACCATGCATTTCTTTCCGGTGCACTGTCGTTCTTGCCGTCTTTTTAATATGAGTATGTTTTCAAAGAGGTATTTTCTTGACGTTCCCCTTGCTATTGCTGACAACACTCTTTACGTCATTATAATAATGTAAAAAATAATAAACTCACAACATTTTTGTTGGATAAATAAGCACATTCTCTCACTTGTTAAATGGTCCATCACCTACTTAATTGGACGTTATGGTGATTAATATACTTTTAGCTTCACCGGGCCTTGCAATAACACAATAGTATAATATTGGAGTTTGACTACATTTAAAAATTTCATTAGATATATCTGACAAATAATACCAATAGGTATTTTAAGGAAAGGAGATATTTGAATTAAACTTCACAAAAATTTTTTTCAAATAGCGCGTATATTCATTTGAAAAATAGTTTTATCATGTATAGAAATTATTAACAGCTAGCAAAAACCCAACCAGGAGCGTTTATATACTACTTTGCTTATAAATAAAGGAGTTTAAAGATATAAGTACCGTTTTACCTTCGATAAAATATTCCAAAATTGTTTCTAGGGTCATCCGATACATTTGCATTAAAGCGTTTTAACGAATAATGAAAAATGTGATTTTTCCTAAATACATTATTTGATAAAGTTGAACTTAATCTCCTCCCTTGGTAAATACGCTTCTATTAATGATTCCGGTGGTACTCGGAAAAAACTATCTAATTCAAAAAATTGTCAAAATGAGCTTATGTAAAACATTATTAAAAAAAATGATATCAGATAAGTATTAAATACCTATTAAGCACAATTTCATTACTTTGTGAGGAAAAATAAAATTTTTTATTCAATACCTCAACAATTTCACATAGAAGTTTTAAGCTTATGCGCAAATTTAAGAGTAACTATTTTTAACAACAAATTTTTTGTTTAAAATAAAAAAATGTCTCTCTTTAGTTGTATTTACAAAATAAAGTAAAAGTCACTGATGATTGTAAATTTTATTATGAATTAATTTCATTTTAATAAAAATTATAAATTAACAAGACAATTAACACAAATATGCTAAAACGATAAGAAATGTTAAGTTATGATAAGCTATCATCAGAGTGATATCTAGCTATTTTATTGTACATAAGAACACATGGTATTTCAGTTTTTGGTTATTGTATTCTTATTTGATAGTAAGAGAAGTGATTAAATGAGTAGTATTTTCATTTTACTCTCGTTATTTTAATTTTAATTTGTTCTCTAACAGTGTTGGATAGTTTTCGTGATTGTAAATTTTATAGAAAAATATAAAAAAATGGGTAAAAAAAGAAGACGTACCGATGAAGATACAGAATTTGATTTAAGCAGAAAAGCTAAAGAAGTGAAAGATGACAATGAAAAACGCTTAATAGTAGTTCTAGAAAACGCTCAACTTGAAACTGTTAAAGTAATTTTTTAATTAGTCGTATAAGGCTGTTTTTAGATATTGATTTGATCATATTTTTTATTATTATTTCAGGTTGGAAAAACTTTTGAGTTATTAAATCCTGATGAGCATGGTCATATACTACGCAAACATGGTCGCGAGCTTGGCAATTGTAGGCCAGACATAACTCATCAATGTTTGCTCATGTTATTTGACAGTCCACTTAATCGAGCTGGATTACTTCAAGTGTATATTCATACTGAAAATAATGTTCTTATTGAAATTAATCCACAAACAAGAATACCTAGAACATTTAAACGGTTTGCTGGATTAATGGGTAAGAGTTCTCGTCAAAATTTTATACTGCTTTTTTTGTCGTATTAATTTTTTTTTTTTCAAAATTTCACTATACCTGAGGTTAAACTTGATAGTATATGGTGAAGGAAGATTTTTTATAGATTTCTTCTAGAAATAAAAACCGGGCTACATGTTTTTTAACACACGTCTTAATATCATTTTTAAAGTTTAAAAGAACGAATTATAATTTTCATAACATTTCCTTAAGTTAATTCATAAATAAAACTGAACTAATATTTTTAAACGTTATTTATAATATACTTTAACACAATTTGCTCACTCCCTTTAACAATGTAATGTATCTCAAAAAACTTTACTTTTTAAAAGAACGAAATTTAAAATTTAAAAAATATATTAAAAATAAATGATTCTCAAACAGTTAAATATTGAATTTTAACTTAAACAACATTTCTGTGATCTATTACTTGTTTTTGTATGTTCTGATAACAAACATAACTCAAATACATCAAATTTTGATATCCGTCATTGTTGTAATAAGTGAAAATATTGTTATAATTGTTCATTAAGTAAATATGATATGTTGTTTTTCAAATTACTTTTTTCTTGTCATTCATTATTAACATTGTAAAATACTTGTACATACGAGATTTTTCTAGAATAATTTAATATACTAGATATTATTTTGAGAGAACTATTTTTTGCATTCATTGAAACTCATTTCAATCAATTTAGCTCATTATTAATAGGAATCGTAGAAATTATTATCACGCATAATGGATGAACCTCTTTCTGTTTCTGTTTCTTGTTATATCACAAAATAAAAAAAATTGTCTGAACCTCCTTGATTAATATGTATACCCAAAAGTTATCCTGTAGTACTGAATAATTTTCTGAAACAGAATGTTTCTGCTAGTCTAGTAAAAACATCCTGCTTTAATTTTTAAAACCTAGAAAAATTGTCCATTGATGACAAAGGTACATATAATTCATACATTTTATTATTAAAAAAATAATGATTTTGTATTTCTTAAAATTTTAAAAAATAAATTGGAAAAATTTATCCTATTCTTTTTATAATTTATTAAAGTTAAAATTTAATTTTTTATTTGATATATATAATTTACTTATTATTTTTTTTACAGTTCAGTTGTTACATAAATTTAGTGTAAGAGCTGCAGAAACATCTGCCAAACTAATGAAAGTTATAAAAAATCCTATTACTGACCATCTACCTGCTGGTTGTAGAAAAATAGCTACATCTTTTTCTGCAGGTAAACCAAAAAAACCTTTAGAATTTGTCTCTCAAGATTCACCAGTTGCCATAGTTGTTGGTGCAATGGCACATGGCCAGGTATTATTGATGAAATATTTTAATACTCAGTTATTTATGTAATTCACTTTGCTTCAGATAAAAGCTGACTATGCTGAAGAAACTGTTTCAATAAGTAATTATCCATTGTCAGCTGCCTTGACATGTACAAAAATATGTTCTGCTTTTGAAGAAGGGTGGGACATTCTGTAATTAAGACTTCTTATTATTTTATTGGTTTTATTTTAAAATATAATAATTTTCTTTTTAAGTAATTTACCAATTAAGATAACTTGCTTTTTAATTGAATACAAAAATTAACAACCTCAAACTTAAATAATTATGTTTACTATAAATAAAAAACTAGAAATGGCACTTTAAATTATACACCAAGTATAAAACAAACAAAAATTTAAGATTTATATGTAATAGATTAAGCAATCATTAACCATATTAACTGGTTGGGCTGACTGAATCGTTTAATATTCCAGTTGTAACAATAGCTTTGAAAAATTGATATGATGCTTTTGGTACACGGGGTCTTTGAGGATTATTGAAGTCTATATTAACTAGTCCAAAATGATACCTACAAAAATTATAAATATTAATACTCAAACATTTAATTAATACATTGTTTGCTTTCATATGTATACCTATAGCCGTCCATCCATTCAAAGTTATCTAACAAAGACCAGCATGTATAGCCTATTACATTACATTTATCGTCATTTATAGCTTGAAGTGTAGCATATAAATGGCTCTAAAATAATATTTCAATGAACAAATTTTGTTGTTTTTAAAATAAATCATTGTATATTACTTTGATGTAATCGATTCTTTCTAAATCATTTAGTCGGCCATCATCAGCATATCCATTTTCTGTTATGATGATAGGTGGGTTATTGTATTCATTTTTTATCCAAACAAGAAGTTTATGCAAGCCTTCTGGTACAACCTTAAATTATATTATGTTTAAAATATGAAATATATGAGAAGTTAATAATTATGTTAATTAGCTCGTTTGATAATTTGTATTACTATAAGCCAAGGTGCAATAGATACTGGCCATGACTTGTCAACTGAAATTATATATTCTGCATCAGGATTGTAATTTGGATTTGGATTTGGATCTATACCATTAGTTACAAATCTAGTAGAATAATGATTTAAAGCATAGAAATCAGCTGTGCCTAAAATATAACAATAAAAAGCTTTTAAATACTAATTTATAAAGTTGATTTATAATTGAAAATATTTAATGAAAACTTAATAAGAAAATGTACTAATTTTACTATAAAATTTTTAATCTAAAGATAAAAACTTTAAATAATAAACATATTCAGTTATTTTTAAAATAATAGTACAGAAATAACAGTTACTTCAATATATGAAAATTACAGCAACAAATTTAATAATGTTTATTTATTAATTATAATATTAATTAAAACTGATAATAAGAAAATTATAATAAGTATGAAAATTAATATTTAACAAATCTATTATGTCATTCTAATGTTTTTAATCACCTTTAAGTAATTTAATCTCTTCTTCTGAAAATGTTGGTAATGTAGACCATGGTCGTCCTTCACTTTTACATTTTCTATCTACCCATTCTCTCATTACAGGTGGATAATCACCCTTATAAATTGGATGACTGAACCATCCTCTCTAAAATAAAAAAAAACCTTATCTTTGATATTTAATTTTTTTTGTATTTTTATTGGAGTGTAATTGAAGCACATGCTTGAAATAATAATAAAAATTGAAATAAAAAAAATAATATTTTTATATATTTGCTAAAATTCTGTTTAACGGGAGGCCTGTAATCATTGGGCATTAGTTTTATTTTATTAAAACTCCTTTTACTTTTAACAAAAATCAGCCTTTATCTGGATGTACAAGGATATAAAAATTATTAAGCCTATATCTTATAGATAGACAGAACTATAAACAATTGGAATGATTCCAATTCTAATCAATCAAACTAAGAATCAGTCTAATACTTAGTTAAAATAAAGTAGAATTAATTATTACAAAATTGATTTAATACCTCAAATTGATTAGCTCGTTCAGCAGTTTCTATGTCTTTTTCTGAATCAACATTTTTTGGAATAAAAAACATTCCATTAATTGATATACTTATTTTACCTGAAAATTAAAAAAATAGCTCAAAGTTCATGTAAAAACTAAAAACAAGCAAACCTTTTTGTTTTTCTCTGAACATGTCATTGTATAAATGATAGACTTTACTATGAGCTAAAAGTTGTGTATGACCAGCCCTATAATAACCAGTGTTACTTAAATTTAAGTAGGGTGCATAATTACAGAATGAATATCCTTTACATGTTTCCATTGGTTCATTAATTGTTATCCACCATTTCACCTAAAGATTTATAAGTAATACAAAATAAATAAATATCAATAAAATTGATACCCAATAGTAATCAAAACTAAATAAATTTAAAAATATTACCCTGTCACCAAAATTTGAAAATAAAACTTTTGCGTATTCTTTAAAATAGTCAGCTATTATTGGATTGACCCAACCTCCAAGATCTTGTAGATATTGAGGAAGATCCCAGTGGTACATTGTGACCTATACCATTCAATATTGATGAATAAAAATTATTAATTAAAAAAAAGTATGTTGAAACATTTGCAATTAAAAAAAATTGTTTTACTAGTGGTTCAATGTTGTTTGCAAGTAGCTCATCAATTAAACGATTATAGTATTCTATTCCTTTAGGATTAATCTTGTGAGCTTCTCCGGTTGGTGTTATACGAGTCCATGATATTGAGAACCGATAAAATTTAAGCTAAAATATTATGCTATCAAAATGTATAAAATAAAAATAAATTGAAATAATTTACTTACATTAAGTGCTTTGGCTAATGCAACATCTTCTTTATATTTATGATAAGAATCACATGCAACATCACCATTAGCACTATCTTTGATCAATTCTGGATGAGTATGGACCATTTTATCCCAAATATTTTCACCTTTACCTAAAATTAACAAAATCACAAAATAAGAAATTTTAAAATTAAAACTTCCTTCAAATAAATTGCAATTACCATCTTCATTCCAAGCTCCTTCAATTTGGTAAGCAGCAGTGGAAGTTCCAAACATAAATCCATCAGGGAATTTATTCGATGACTTAAGATTTTTAGGCATTATTAGTGTTATAAAAGCTGCAATAATTAAATTATAATACAAAATTTAGAAAGAATTAATTTTACAATGAAACTTAAAATACCTAACGTAAAATAATTAACTTAATTCTATATTTCTCAATTTCTAATAATTCTTTAAGTGAAACATTTACCTGCGCAATTATATCAAGATATTTGTTAAATTTCTTTGTTTAAAATTACAGTTAAAGAATTTAAATTATATAGTATTTTAGAATTATATTATAATGTTTTTGTAAAATTACAAGTTATAAACAAACTATTGCAATAAATTATTTTTAAAACTCAGAACTTTTCATTATTATTGTCAATAATAACGAAAACAATATGTAAAATGTATGAAAATTTTTTGTTATTTATATTTTAAGAATTAAATTCAAATTTGAAAACAATTAATTATAAAAGTTATATATTATATTTTTGAATCTAAAAATTATTAATTTGAATATAATTAAGGAAATAGAAATTGATGTTGCTTTTGTAATTATCCACCAATTTCTTAGATATTAACACTATCTACAGATTTGCATCGAAGCATTTCTTATGATAAGTGATTTTAATCACTGTCAGATTAAAACTATACTGACCCGACTGTACCCCACATCATCATTATGCTACCGTATTAAACTTCAATTACATTAATTCTAAAAATATAAATAACAAGATATTTTCACACATTTTAAATAAATTTAAAGTAATCAATTTAGTAGTATTTATTAATAGTAATTCTCGTTTAACCACATATGACAATTATTTTGTTTAGTATTACAAACTTGTTATAATAATTTGATGTATCAATAATTTTATAGCACCTACAGTGAAACCTCTGACGGAATTCGACGGAAACATCTCCTGATCATAAAAAATATTTAGACCCAGTTAAGTTTTCCATAACGGAAAAAAGTTTGTTCCCCAGTATTTCCATTGAATAAAGATTTCACTGTATTATGTATGATAATATAAATTCCATTACTTTTACAGAAAAATATATTACTGGTTATAAAAATATTTTATATAATACTTGACTGAGTTAATGAAGCACAACACACAAAAGAACTAGAATTTTTTTCCAAACAATTTTATAGACAACCATTTCAACATTAAATAGTAATAATAAAATAATTTTCTTAGTATTTTTTAAACATAATTACTATTAATCTCAAAAATTTTAAAAAAGTCTCAAAAAAAAAAAAAAAAGGCTCTGCAAACTTGGGTTTTATTCAGAGAATTTCTCATGAATTTCACCTCTTAAGACCACTAAAAAATCTTTTTTGTTCACTGGTTCGCTCTATCCTTGAGTATGGTTCGGTTTTATGGGATCCTTACACAGCTACCGACTCTATGATGCTTGAAAGAGTACAGCGTAAATTTTTACGCTTTGCGGCTCATATCCTTAATATCCCCATCTACCTCATGACTTAACTCCTATTCAAAATTTCTTACAACTTCCTTTCTTATCTGCTAGAAGACATGATTCTAATATTCGTTTCCTTTCTAAACTCTCAGCTGGCTTGATTGATTCTCCTGTCCTACTTTCTAAATTGAACTTTCGGGTACCTCCTCGTTCAACTCGCTATACTGCCCCTTTCCTCATTCCTCATTCATCTTCTAATTATATTTTTCATTCCGCTCTCCCACGTTTAATGCGCACTGCAAATAACTCTGCAGTGACCCTGATTTTTTACATTCTTTTCATTTTTAATATAGTCATTTAGCCTTCCTATTTAATATTTAAATTTTGATTATGTTTAAATTTTTCTTTTTCTCTTTATCAAGCTTAAGTTTATTAATGTTTCATTTTTAGTTATTAGATAATTTTAAGTTGTCCAGTTAACTGTCTAGTACATATTGTATTTTTTGGGTTATTGCCTGTATAATTTATAATAAATAAATAAATAAAAATTTAGTTTCAGTCAAACTAATCAAATTAAATAATAACTTGACAAAAGATGAAAAAGTAAACCGTATTTTTATTATTACTAAGGTATATTTTTAGTATTTTTAAAACATAATATTTAACATTATTAATTTAAGGGCTAAATGTGGTATGTCAATGTAACCAATAGCATGATAAATAAAATAAAAATATAATTTGCTCAAATTATTTTAAATATTATTAATTTTTTTAATTACTGTAATATTATAATTTATTTATATATTTAAAGTTTAAGACACCAAAAGAAGTAATGATTACAGATATTGAAGTTTTACAAAATATTGTACAACGTCAACTTAGACAATAGATATACAAATAAAAAAACAATAATAAAATATATATATAGGGGCATCATTTGGGGGAGTTGGTCAGGGTGTGCGGTTGTATCCATACTTTAAAGACAGTCCCAATTAGCCTTCAGAAATAATACAATTTTTTATAAATCAATTCAAATTTCAAAAATAATGTATTATCATAGTTATATGGGCCAATAAACAAATATTCTGTTAACAATTAATGGAGTAAACAATAAATGAGGGGTTAAGCGCAACAGTGGCCTAACCCTCAAAATGTTAAAAATTGAGTTAATGAAATAATTTTGTTGAAAATAAAAAACATTTTAATGCAACAACGGCCTATTTTTGTATTTTTAATTTTACACTAGATAATAACACTATTTATGTTGTTGTATTAATAAATTGTATATACTTGTAAGAATTTTAAAAGATGTATTACACACATTAATTGTTTTGTGGCATAGGCCACTGTTGCGCTCAACTCCTCAAATATATTATACTGAAATATTGATATTTGTACCGGACACAAGATAGTAATATTGATGTTCGTAACAGTTTTTATCACGACTTTTTTGTTGCGCAGTTAACAGCAATAATTAATAACGGTAATGAACTGATATAATATTAAAATAGTAAATATTTTTATAATTTATATTTACTACTTATGTTGATTGCGATTCATAATCTATGGAAAAATTAAAAGAAGAATTATTTACTTAAGTAGGTATATCTATTTTTATATGGCCCAATAAAATTTCAAAATGGCATACTTGAAATCTCGCACACCCCAAAAAAAAAACTGAAATGACGACCCTGTATATATATATTCAATAAATACATGTAAGCATAATAACTATTAATTATTAAATTTATTAATTAAATTAAATTAAATTAAAGCATAGTTTAATATAACGGGATTGAAGCAAAATCAAAATTAAGTACATTGTTTTATTTATCTATTTGCGATACTCCGGACTATAATTAAGAAATTTGTAGGGCATTGAAGTATTATATTTTTATTTAAAGGTTGAAATTTAAAATTTTATTTTGCAAAAGAATTCGAGACAAGATAATTTACCGTTTGTCTATTTATGAATAATAGTTTCGTCGTTATATAATCTAGGGCCTACGATTCTATACCCAATTCTAAAGCTAAAATATCTGGCAGATTTCTTTACTTAAATACTTTCTTTATTTTCATGAACCCTCGTACTCATACCCTGAGAGATATTATTAAAAAAACATACAATAGTTCTCTCTGCCCAACTTGCCATAACTTTTTTCTTTTGAGTTACTATATAATAACTTAAGATAATTAATGTTTTTTAATTCGGTGTAGTTTCTATTTATAAAACCAATGACTTGTAGATATTTGCTATAAATCGTGTCAATATAGATATTGAATGTAAGTCAGAGGCTAATAAAACACCCAAATCTTGCACAGTAAATGATATTTGCAATTTAAAATTGTTTATTTTATTCAGAGCTAGGGTTTTATCTTATTGACGACTAAAGGAGACATATTTGCACTTAAATTGGTTAATTGAAATACCGTTTCAATTATACCATTTAGATTGTTTTGTAATTGGTGTGAGTTTTTATTTGTATTAATTAATAGATAGATTTTTAGGTCATTAGCAGGTAATAGATATTTATTTTCATGATTTGAAATTGACTCCAATGTCATTTGTAGGTATACTGAATAAAAAAGGAAATATTCCTTTCTTATGTCTGATGTTCGTTTGACCTATTATATAATTGCAATGTAAATTATGATAATAACTGGTAATCTATATCAAGTTTATTTTTAACACCAAGATACCATGATCAACCAGATCTGTGTAAATTGTATCTATTTGACCACCAATTTTTTTTATGTCAATTAGATAAGTATATTATACTATTAAATTGGTTTCTATTGATTTAAATTTGAGAAAGCTATGTTGTTCTATTACTAAAATGTTCTTGAATGATTTATATAATTTTTGTATCATAATCTTTTTTTAAAGCTTTTGGGAGTGTACTTAACTTGGATATCGGACAATAATTTTCAATAATTGATTTATTTCTACCTTACAACAGAGAAGTTATGAAGCTTAATTTTCATTTACTCGGGAAAATATCAGAGTTTAGATATAAAGATAATAATTATATCGATCCACAAGAAAAAGGTTCGAAATAGTTAAAGCGTATCATCACATGTAAAAATAAAGATGGAACTGAGTGTGAGTCTGAAATAGGTTTATAGTCTACACTTAATAGTTCATTAAACACTTCCAGTTGATATAGTACAATTGGATAAATCAACTTTTTTAAATCATAGAAAACATTATCATCAACAACCTTTGGCGTGGTAAAAACTGATGAGATATGTTCGACAAAATAATTAACATGGATTACTGAGCATTTGTATTATAATATTACGTTAATTAAAAAATGTAATGTATACGTTTAATGATACAATATTTCTAAAATTAAACATTTTCTTATGTTTAATATATATTTTTTTTTATAAATAATGGTATTTTACTTTATCATTTATTGTTTAACGTTTTTTTTATGTATATTTTTCTTTTTTTTAACGTCATAGCCATCACTTACAACGTTTTTAAACCTCGATTATGAGGATCCTCATAAGCAAGATCTTGCTTCAGTAAAGAACTAATTTTTATTTAATATTTTATTTTAATTAAGTATTATTAATTACATAACTTTAACCGTAAGCGCGATTGGGAAAGCCTTCAAGGAGCTTAGCCTCTCCAAACATTTTGTTGAAATTGTGCCTATTCCTTCAATTTTTATCTAAAAATATAGTACATTTTGTATTAATCCCAAGTTCCTTTTGTATAAATGACTTCAAAAGAAAACTAGAGTGACCTCACAATTAAATATTTTATCAAGAAATATTTAAAACTAATTTATTAATATAATTTTAAACTCTTTTCAAAATAACATGGGAACAATTACACAATTGTGTTATACAGAAAGTCTCACGATGTTTTGACAAATACAAATACTTTTCTTATGGCAAATTAACAGAATATTTTATATGATAGTCAAAATTTTTCATTAAAATTACTATTAATAGTATTTAGAACTATGATGAACCAATACTAATAAAACTATGAATTAAACTAATACACAAGTATATTTGATAATGAATTAATAATGTTATTCTTAGAACATGCATTTAAAAATTATGTAAGTTACATATAAGATCAAAAATTACAAATTAAAATAAAATCTTACCTGACCTAAGATGTATTGCGTTGAACTAAACTTGTTCTGTACTACTAGAGATTTTTATGTATAAGACATTAGCAATTAAACTACAGTTTATCAACAAAAACACCGTTGAAAACCCAAAAGATTACAACTTAGAAGAATATTTAGATTTACCTATTGTAGTGTTCAAAGGTTAACGTACATTTGTAACAACCAGTATTTATACTTTTCAATTGCAGACACAATCATGATTATGTACACTAGGACATTTAAATCTAATTTCATACATGTATGCATGTATTGTGTTTAAAGTGGTTTTTTGATTTAAGTATCTTATTTTAAACAAAAATCAAATATATTTCACCCAACCAATTGTAAATCTAAAAGGCATGTAATATGATGTTACATTTAGCGTTGCCAATCCCTATAAACACGTATTACGGTTGCAATACATTGTTTATAGTGTTCACTAAATAAGGAAACGGGTTTTTATTTTTCTCATTATATGTGACAATTGACCTGTTTCCTTATTTTTTGAACACCTGTAAAAAATTAATGTAATATAAAGAAACACGTTTATTCTAATAAATATAGGTATTTTCGTAAAAAATAATACCTAAATAATAAAGATTGAACAAAAAATAGATCATAAAAAAATTTGGTGATGGTAGTATTGCAGTCATTTTTTTTTTATCACGCAATATAGGGGAAATTGAGGCAAAATGGATATACGGGGTAAAATGGGACAGTGTGTTAACTTGAAGTTTAAGGATCAGGTATTATTATAAAGTATTTAAAACATTTTATTAATTTTGAATTTATCATTTTTAATAACATTTTTATATTGAGCAATAATTTTTGCAATACTAGTTAAGTATCCAATAAAAAAAATTATAAAGTAGTTAATACTTTTATGACAAACGTATAAAAAAGTTAAAGGTGTATTATTATATTATTACTTATAATATTATATTATCATTTGTACATGTATGTCACATATTATGTATAGTAAGTACAAGATCACTAAAATAGGGTTCTCTCATTTAAAATACAAAATAACCCGTTAATTATTGGATAAAATCTACTTATTGTAGAAATTATTTAGTAACGGTAGTGATCGCTGAGCTACCCCCTTCAGACTATAAAAAGCCATTTTCCCCCGTCTAAATCAGTTCTCTCGGCGATTTTAAAATACACAAAATCTATGATACTCTTCTCAAGATTTCACTCTCCCGGGACTTATCGGGTAGCTAGTCTGGTCGATAATGTATTTGTTTTAACAAACGTCGCAAACAGACAACGCAGAGAAACATACAAGTATATTTGCAGTGTTTAATTTTTGTCTTGATAATTATTGTGCCGCATCCTTTCAAGGCGCTAGCGCCGAGACACATTTTTTTTTTTAATGATTTTATCGGCTCAATTTAGGGCCACAGCGGCCTCTCCCAAAGGAGGAGGTTTTCTTAACCATTTACACCATTTATAACCTAACCATTTATACTCCGGGATGGATGGTTAATCCGTCGTCGGTGAGAGGAGGGTGGTGACTCCAATTACCGAACAGATCGTTCGGCAATGTGTCCTCGGGTTCGAACGAACCTGAGAACACATTGGGCCACCACAATTCCGCCTTGTTAAATTTTTTACATAGATATAAATATTTCTGAATCTTGTTTTGGCTGGGTCAGTGGAAAATTTAAGAAATGTTTGTGTCGATCTCTCAATAAAATATACTCTCTCCAAAAAAATACTTATTCAATAAATGTAAAAAAATTATTAAGGACAGTTTATAAATTATATTTCTAATAAAATATAGAGTGTTTAGAATCTTTCACAAGTAATATCAGCCATAGACTTTGTGTAATTTAATCATATTATTTAAAATTTGAATCGTTTTTGTAAGCAATTATATTGACTATATGACGTATAGTGTAAATCATATACGTAGTAGTGCATCAACATTGGATTACTTGAAATATTATTGCATTACATAGTACATAAGGTAAGTACAATTTAACCTATGATTTCTAACATCCAACAATCTATTATGTAATAAAACATTAATAAATTAATAAAGAAATTATATAAGTTTAATAAAAAAATTATAAATATTAAAAAAACATTTAACTTCCAATATTCCACCCAGCCAGATCTAATCAGATCTTCTTATAATATTATCTAATTATTTCTTCTTATTATTATTATTTTTAAGTTCTATTTAACCTATGCTTCCGCTTTTTTTTCTTTTCCCTTTTAATTTTCGGTTTATTACACTTGATACATAAAAAAAAATTTTTTTGTTATTTATAAATAAATTTACTGGTCTACAAGGAATTTTCATTCGAGACCAAAATATACTTTTCTAAACCCATTTTTTAATTTCAAATCTGCAATTAAAGTTTCGCATATGGCCTAAATAATATTAAAATCCTTCTAATTAATATTAAAAATATTTATGTTTTATTATTAGGTTACGTATGAATAATTAATAAATATATTTCAATTGAAAATAAGTTGAAAAAAGTTCTATTTTCTATATGCATTTTTATGTTTTGAACACTCTCCCTGTTAAAGAGAAATAGTCCGATTTAAAAAAAAAAGTATATCGAATGAAAGAGGTATATAAATAGTTTTTCTTATAAAAAAAAAATTGCATTGATCCATACATTTTTCAAAAAGTTGAAGAAATATAAAATAGAAAATTGAGAATTTTAACACAAAAATAGCATTTTCACCGCGAAAACAAAATAAAATCCTAAATTTTTATCTATAACAAAAGGAAAAATCGTTCTGCTGATTTCAATTTCATTAAAAACTTCATCACAGGCGACTAAACGTGGGTCTATGGATACAATAGGACATAAAGTCATACATTAAATACATTAATGGACAATGGCTTCAAGATGTAGAGGAAACTAAAACGAATATGGTAACACAACTTAAAGCACTTTGGAATAGTTTCAAAGGACTTTTGAAAAATGACATGATTGCTGGAACCATTGCATTTCGTACGGAGAAGAGTATCTTGAAGGAGATAACTTTAAATTATGTGTAATTTCAACTTTGAACTAAATATTCAATTAAATTATTAAAAATAAAATATTGGTACTTTTCGAACAGACTTCGTAATATTATTTTTATAAAAATGTGTACACAAGTATTTAAAAATACTTACAGGTATATTTCCGAGTATTTAAAAAAAATATAAATATCTTAAAATCGTTTAGATTATTTAATTCGCTGGTACAAACTTGAAATGTATAAAATAGCTTGCTACTATTTTACTGTTCCTGCGTAAACTTGTTAATAACTTTGTTTGTTTATATAAAATAAAAAATTTATTATCTGGAGTTTAGTATTGAATGTAAAGATTTGAAATTTCTATTTTGAAAAAAAAAATTTAATGAACTTAATTTAAATGTTTATTCAAACCCTATTCTTCGATTATGATCTAGATAATTTTTTAGGGGTAGTGTAAAAGATAAGTAGGGGAGAATGGAAGTTTTGGACGAGTTTTCAGATTAAATTATCAAACCATATAATAAGATCAATAGTTTATTAAAATAGTTCATTTATTATAAACTTTGAGACAATCATAAAATGTTTAAGTCTTCACTATGTTATTTCATAAAATTAATTCATTAGGCGGGAAACATCTATTCTTTTTTTATTTATAAAAAAAGTTACTTTCACCAGTCAACATACTAAACATATAACTACATTGTCTAAATTTATTATTAATCATAGATGCTCCTACTAAAACCAAATTTTCTAAAATTTGAATTGGCTTAATTATTATGAGAACTCAATGGTTTCATTAAAAAGTAATACATTGGCCCAATCAAACTATTAAAAATACAGATTACAAACCATTTTTTTCATAGTATATAACTGGCAAATAAGTGTGTACAGTTAATATAAACTGTAACTGGATTATTAAAGTAATTATTTATTATAATTACACTTAATTTTTCAATTATTCAAATATCATATATGCAGTGGCCTACCAGCGAGTATGCATGGTAGATCTGTTGGTCTACCCGACCAATTTTCAGATCTATTAAGTTTCTAGGCTCGATCCCTATGAAGTGTTTTAAAAAAAACGAATATACGATAGCAAAATAAACGTCATTAATATGCCCCCGGAGAGGACTTAGTTTCAATCCTATAGATAAAAATTACAATAATTATAACCGGGCGTGGTGTGAATTTTAATCCTGGACACGCCACTAGATTTTAATATGCTAAAATCTATCGTCAACCACTAGGTGAAATTGAAAATAAAAATTTATAAAAAAAATAACATTTATACTTCTGGCTGAAAGTAAAATAATAAAATATAATGGCCGTAAATAAAATAATAATGTGTGCTAGCTGAAAATAAATTCGTATATGTAAAATCTATTATTTCAACTCAAATGTTGCTAAGTGACTGGAATTTTTTTTCCTATAAATACGGTAAACATTCAATGAGAGTTTACGGTCTGCCGTTACTTGTGAACTGTCAATTTGTCGTCGTGAATTCATTTTGTATTTTTTGAAAATCAAGCTATTCAACAAGGTCATTATGGAATCGCAAAATAAGAAAATTTCAGAAGTAACCAAGCAGATCGAAGGAGGCCGGGACAAGTTGATTGAACTCCTCATTGAGACCGACAAAATATATCGACTGGTGATAAAACTAATTAATGATGATTTGAGAGAAATGGAATCGAGCAATCCATCCCAGCCTCCCTGTACCACCTCCGTCGTGTTGCGAGACTGTTTGAAAGATCAAAGAATGAACATTTTCCGCGTTATGGACATCTACCTTGACAATTATGATGCCGAAGAAACACAAAATATGCGGAATATTAGATCAGTGTGGGAATTTTCGCATACCTTGATCCAATTGGTCATTCCGCAATCTACCTCGTCTGAGCCCAGCATCTTAAACAATCACGGACTATTTATATTCAGCAGACTTCGGGGTATAGCTGATCAGATGGAATCTGTAGCAGGTAGAAACAAGATGTTGATGTTTAAAATGAATTTAATTCAACGTTATACTAGCGGATCGTCATGTTCAAGTTGCCCATCGTCACGCCGCAAACGCTCCTTACGACGGAGTTTTCAGTGAGTCGATCCTCAAATATTTTCAAAATCTGCAACATTTGTTTTTCACTCATTTGTGGTAGATTATTTTAAACACTTAAGTTTTTTTTTATTTATTACACATTTATGTGTTTCGTTTCATGAACACTTGTTCAATCTTTATTGTTGTTTGTTGTTAACTTTTTCCTGTTTATTTTGTTAATTTTTTTATTTAATTTTAAAATTTTGTTTATTTATTTTTTTCTCATACAATAAGACAAATTTCATTTGTAAATTAACAATGTCAATTGTTTTTTAAATAAATAAAACTGTATTCTATACTTAAAAAATATTTGTTAATTATTTTATTAATAACATCTTCAACATATATGAAACTTAGTTATAAATATTAGAACGAGATTCTGGAGGAACAACTACTTCCAGTGGCATGTCCAGCGAGTAAGTCGAGCAGGCCCGACTTACCTAAATCATGTTATCAGATCCATGACTGGACTCCATAAGATGTTTTATGATTGAAAAAAAATTAATGTCATTAATTGATGCGTACGAGGCAGCTATACCGTAGGACGGTTAGTTGTGCACCGCACTAGAATGCCGTTTTACCTTAATCCTGTTTAAAAAACGTTATTATTCATGCGGGATTGGGTCACCTAGGAGATGACGGCTAACTATACATCCAATAAGTAAACGAAAGTAGACAATAATTAAATAACAAATAATCACATAGATTAGAAATCCCTTTGAGAGTATCTTAAATTTAAGGGGTCACGGGGGGCCTTAAAATACTATTGGCCGGTGAAGCGGCATAAAACAAATCTCAATTAAAACAAACAATAAATAATATTAAAAATAATATAAAACTCAGCTGTATAGATGACGTTGTTGATAGTGATGAATAGACTGTATGAGATCTTGTGGTAATGGTGTCGAACATCTGAGTATGACGAGTCAGAGTGTAAATCCAGGTACGTAATGGCAGATGAGAACAGACTACGGCAATGATAATGTCTAGTGATGCTCAGGGACCAATCACTAGTGCCGTGCAAGGGCACGTAAACTTTGAGCACAAGGTTGCAATAAACAAGTAATAAAAAACTATGGCGTACAACAGCCGAAAAATTTTACCATTCAAGCGAAGGCGCTTGTTACAGAGCAAGGAGTGACACAAAAAAAAACAATTTACTGACTGACTTATGACAATGAACTGTACACGGATGAAAACTGACATGGAAGTCATCGATTTGCCGTGATGGGTGGGCAAGGGGGTGAGTAAAGCAAGATGCTGGTGATCAGCTGCCCCACGAAATAATATAATCAATGAACTTTGTAACAACTGGTCAACTAGATTCTTCTAAAGGCGTTCTGTACCATACAGATACGATTTGTGATCTTATGACGTATCGTTGAAAAAAATCGGTCCAGTGAAAGCTGAGAAAAAGTGGTAACAGACACAGAAAAAAAAAAATGCATCATAATAAAACCAATACCTTCTCAGCTTCGCGTCGATGCTAAAACATGATTGAACCTTATACATTAAAGGTCAAAATAATATTTGAAAATTAATTTAAAAACCCATTGTAAAACAATGTATAATTAATGAATTAATAAGAAATTTATAAGTGCACGTTTCTCGTTATTTTCTGCACTGAGAACATGGTGTTTTTTTGCCACCGAAAAAGAGCACGTATGGTCACCCATCCGTTCACCTACGGTGGTAGACGAGGCTTAACAAAATTAATTTTGAATAATAAGTTATAATTTATTTTTCTCGTATACAGGGTGGCCCACCACTCACTGACAACTTAAATAACTTTTGATCCAGTTAATATTTTTAGCTGATTTTTTTTTTAAATAATAGTTATACGTTAGGTCTATAGCTATATTTCAATAATTAATTTTTCTAAATTTTATTAAAAATATTAATTATTTTTTAATTTTAAATAAAAAGTAAAAAAAAAATCTAAGATAGCTATTTTGTAGAGTAGAATTTAAGAAAAATTTTAGTAAAAAAATATCTTATTAATATTGAGTAGTAAATATTCTGTAGCGTTTTGAAGTTTGTGAAAATTTGAATTTTCATGTACTATTTTACGGTATTAAACATTGAAATACGTATTGAGAAAAGGACAGAAGAAAACGCTATCTTTTCAATATACTTTTGAATGAGAGTGATAAGCAGGGTTCGGGACTTATAGCACTTAAAATCATCAAAAAAAGCGCTTAAAGAAGCACTATAAAACATAAAAAAAAGCACTCAAATAAGCAATTATAAATAAAAAAATTAATCAAAAAATCCCCAAAATTTCTTAATTTTCTTTTAAATAATAAAGTACTAAATATTTGTAACTGTGCTGAATATACTTTTTTAGGACTTTAGGATTAAATACCATTAAAATGAAACTATTTCATTGAAAAAAAAATACGGGTGTTTAATTAATTTATTCTTTTATTAATTATAAATTAAAATTAAAAATACAAAAAAAAAATATTCAAAAAATTAATTCTGAAAGAATCAAAATTAGTTGAAATCAAGTTGAATGACAAGAAATGTTAAATAATATCTTGTTTATGGATTTTTTGAAAAATTAAATATAAATTTGTGTTGATATCCCAGAATGCCATAACGTTCTAAAAATATTGTTTACCGAGAAATCCATTATAAAAAGGAAATCAACCAAGTACCACACTAGTATGACACTTCAACCAAAGCTAAAGAAGTTAACGATGCCGAGGACGGCGTTGGCTATCAAATAGATAAGATAACAAAGACAAAACTCTACAAACAAGGAAGGCAATTGAATTATTTTCCTTATTAGATCTATCAAAAACCGATAAAAAAAAACCTGGGTAGGCTGCGTCATAAAGAAAATATTTTAATGTACAAAAACAGAAAAAACAAGAAACAAGCATTTGTATTTTATTAAATCATCAAAAAAAGCAGAAAAAACTAAAAATAAGCGTTTTTTGAAAAAATCATCAAAAATAGCAAAAAGAAGCATTTTCTAGCAAATGCTATAAGTCCCGAGCCCCGGTGATAAGTAATAATTGCCTTATCTAATTTCTTATCATGGTATTAATGCCAAGTTTGTAATGTATACACATTATCATCATATGTATACACAATAATCATGAAAAGATACTCTACANAATATTAATAAGATATTTTTTTACTAAAATTTTTCTTAAATTCTACTCTACAAAATAGCTATCTTAGATTTTTTTTTTACATTTTATTTAAAATTTAAAAATAATTAATATTTTTAATAAAATGTAAAAAAATTAATTATTGAGATATAGCTATAGACCTAACGTATAACTATTATTTAAAAAAAAAATCAGCTAAAAATATTAACTGGATCAAAAGTTATTTAAGTTGTCAGTGAGTGGTGGGCCACTCTGTATATTAATACTTATATTACTATTCAGGTTTCACAAATAACACTTTTTTAACTTTTAATAATATATTTTATTGTATACTACATTTAGCGTTGATTATTTAAGGTAATATTTTGTTCATTAAAGTCTACATTAATTAACAACAAATTATCTTAAATGATTATATATAAACATGTTTTTTTACTTAAAAAAAAAAAAAGTGTGTGGCTTGTATACGTAATCTTTTTTTCGTTATGTATATATAAATTGCATAAGTCCTTACTGTAAAATATTTTAATTTATTAAAAACTGATTATTTTTTTTTTTTGATCAAAGCTAATAACTTTTTACGCGTAAAAGGTAAGTAAAATCATTTTTTTCTTATAAACTATAATTAACTATTTATAAGCATGTATAAATTATTATATTGTATATTTTTTTTTACTTATTTTATATATTTTATATTTATTATAGAGTTTGAATTGTTGATGAAAATTTTATAATTAAAATTTATAATTTAATAATATAATTTATAATAAAATAATTTAATTAACTAACTTAAGATTACTTTAAATAAAATAATTTTAAAGTAGTTTTTTTATTAATTGACATACTTGGGACATACTAAATTCCTGACGTAGGGGAAAAATGGGATATTTGACTTTTTTTAAAAATATTTTGTTATAAATACATACATTTACATTTTAACTAAACAATGGTACATTTTAGTAGTTTATATATATAATACTAAAAAGACCAGAAACAAGAACCTTAAAAATATTGTTTTAAAAATAATGACTGATCATTAACAGAAAACATTTATAATCTTCAATATACTAGTTGAAAATTTATAGAGAATATTGTAACATCTAAATTGAATTGTAATCGATGAAAATATAACAAATTGGGCAATTTTTTTGACATACTTCGCTCCTTATACGTTTCAGATATAGTAAAATCAAATCAATTATGAAAAATTTATTTTAATATGTTCCTTAGAAATAATCTTAAGCTTCAAGATTGCACCCGTACCTGTTAGTATTTAAAGTTTAAAGTTTCGAATTTAGACAAAGTATTAAAATATTGTGGCTAAATAACATTGAATTTAATACAAAATATATTTAAGACCTAATTGACAACGCTTATAACTTTTTGTATAATTATAATTATGTTAAAACTTTTTTTAAAGTAATCGTTGTCTTCTTAATGTACACTCAAAAATTTTTTTTAAAATTATTTATCACTAACAAGAAAAAATAAATAAATATAATTTTTTTTTTTTAATATTTTAAAATAGCCATGTTTAACCTTTTTGTTTTACAAAAAAAATTTGCAGGGTCGATAACAATTTTAAGACAAGTACACATTAAGTTACATGCATTTTAATACATAAAGTAATATCGCAGTGAGAGTTGGTGCAGTTTGTATTGGTGTATGTATGCTTTCTCGCATTACATTCTCACTCTATATGTTATATTTTCCTATAATTTTTGTCGACACATAAACATTTACTGTAAAAAAAAAGACTAAAAATAGCTATTTCGAATTTTGAAATAAATAAAAAAATGTTATTCTTTTTTTTTTTTTATTAATGTTAAACGATTTTTGAACGTAGTCAAAGGAGATGATAAATGTTTAAAAAACATCGAACAAAATGATAATTTTATCAAAAGTTATATGTTTTGTCAATTAAATTAAAGACAAACTACATAATTAGAAAAATTTAGATATAATAATGTTACAACTACAACAAAAAAAGATGCATATTGAACATAATTTTTTGGAGGTAATATACTAACTAATACTTATAATTTCAATTTTTTAAATTAAAATAATGATTTGTTTAAAATTATTTTAAATCATAACAAATGTTTAATTGAAAAAAGTTAGACATACACTATACAAATGATTACCCAATTAAACATTTAACTTTTTAGTAGTAACAATTTTTTTGAAATATTGATATGATGCTTTTGGTACTCGTGGTCTTCGTGGATTATTGAAATCAACACTTACTATTCCAAAATGATATCTTTAAAAGTATAATGAATAAAAAAAGTTTTAATGTTTATATATTATATAAACACTCATATAGGTGTATACTAAGGAAATATTTTCTTCATATATAGAGTGTTCAGTAAGTAAGGAAACAAGTCAATTGTCACAAACAATGAGAACAATTGAAATCCGTTTCCTTACTTACTGAACTCCTATATATTTTCTATATGGCCATTACTCAGTTGTAAAAGTAAAGAAACATTTCTTATCGATTACAAATAACAAAAATTCAGCACAGTGGGTACGTGACATAGTTGAGTTCAGTTTATGGGTCTGACAGTGATTAAAATCACTATCATAAGAAACACTTCTATGCAAATCTGTAGGTAGTGTTTAATTTTAATAGTTTTTAATCTCATATCAATCTAAAAAATTAAAGAATTTTTTCCAATATTTGGGGATTATGAGTTCAATAAGATAAAAACGTGTTATTTTAACGTATTGGTCATTAAAATTAGTTTAGTGAGAGCTGAGAAAAGTTAACGACAGACACAAAAATAAATCATTTAGTAATATATTTTAGTATGAATAAGAAAGTCCTTCTCACAAGGTGAGACTAAAGTGATAGGATCCTCGATATCATTGAATATTTTGATTGAATGTTATTTATTATTATTCATTTTGAATTTTTTTTCCACCTCAAAAAAAGAATTAAGAAAAAAATTCAAAAAAAATTATTTCGACTGGCGTACCCCAAGCGTGCAAGACTGTAAAATTCATGACCAAGCCACCATACACTATGTGTATGCATAAATAAAAAGAATTATTTAAACTAAATCAAAACTTCAAAGTCCCTTTTTTTAATTTTAAGGTGGAAATATAATCAAAATAATTGTAAATTTATATTTAATGTAAGTCAGATTCATGTAACTTTTATAAAAACTGGTGGACTCATTACTAGGTTAACCCTTATAAAGTATTATAACATAATTAAAAAAAAAAAAGTTTGAACACAAAAATAGCATGTTTTTTAAATACAGCAGCCATTTGCACGAAGAAGATAAAGTCGTCATTATTTATAAAAAATTTTTTTGTTATTTATAGTATGTCACATAAGCTTTAATTTGACATGTATTTATAGGATGCAGTATTTCTGGAACATTTTCATAATGTAAGTTAAAAAAATTTACTTTTGTGAAAAAAAAGGAAAATACCTTTGGTTTTAATATAAAAAAATATTATTTTGATTTGTTCATTTTTTTATAAGTTAAGGGAATTTTTAGAAAAAAATTCAAAATTTACTGATATTAAAAATCATAATTTTTTGAGGGATTTTCATCATTTATGATGAACAAGAGAAAAATTTTCAATTTTTGAGGATAATGTCTTTAACTAGTTACGATTTGTGATTTTTTGACGTATCATTGTGAAAAATCAGTTCAGGGAGAACTAAAAAAAGTTGTGACAGACACAAAAATATAAAACGTCATGGTAAAATTAATACCTTTTCAGCTTTGCATCGAAGCTAAAAAAATTTTATTGTTTACAATTTTGTATGAAATTTATAAGGAATTTTGACGCTAATTCTAATCATCGATTGAGATTTTTTTATCTAATTTTTAAGATAATTACTAATTAGTAATCAGTCTTAAATTTTTTAAAAATCTTGTTAAATGGCAAGAAATCATTTTAGGAAAGTATAAAAAAAAATTGTATGTATATTTTTTCGACAGTTTTATTATGTTTATTTATGTATTATTACTTAATTACTAATTAGTAATTATTTTAGAAACTAGATGTTAAGAATCTAGAATCTTATCCTGTGCTATCAATGTTTTAATCAATGTTTTTCTGCAAACTATTACCTGTAACCGTCCGTCCATTCAAAATTATCTAATAACGACCAAATTGTATAGCCTATGATATCACACTTGTCTTCATTAATAGCTTTAAGCGTGACATTTAAATGGCTCTGAAATAGTATTTCTATGTATAATTTTATTGATGTTAGATATAAATATTCGAATTTACTTTAATGTAATCAATTCTTTCCAAATCATTTAATCGACCATCATCAGCATATCCATTTTCTGTGATGATAACTGGGGGGTTATCATATTCCTTTTTTATCCAAACAAGAAGTTCATATAAGCCTTCTGGTGCAACCTATAATTAAAATATTTTAAGTATTAATGATCCAAGTAGTCAATAAAAAAAAAAATGTATTATTAATTAATAAAAAAAATGATTGTACATTGTCTATCAGTAAATGTTATTTTTAAATATTCTTTTAGAATTTGAAAGTAGTAAAAAGTGCACTATCTTATCAGAATATATGTTTTCTTTTCCAAATAATTACCAAGGCATTTTAGATCTCGGTGTTTGTTTCCTTAACCTAGGGTGTAAAATTTTTAAGTATGTTTGTTTTTATTTTTCGAGCCAAAATATAAAAGGTGAGATATTTTTGATATTAAATTTTTAGCGTTTAAATAATACCATTTTATTTTAAAATTATAAATAATAATAATATAATAATTAAGGGTTTTTTTGTGATACGTAGTATTTTAGTATTTTTTTGTATGAGACTAGTTGCAACTGTAACATGATATAGTTGCACAGAGGATATTTGTAATAATATGTTTATTTACTATAATAAGGTTTTGCTAAATTTTATTAAATTAAATAAAGTTCTAACAATTTATTTTATTTAAATGGGAAAACTTCAGACAGATATTTAACTTTTGAGGTAATATCTAAAATTGAATACAAAAATATTACAGTCAGTATATTTTTTAAGGGGAATAATATAATTACATAAAATTGTATTCCATATTTTATATTTTCATACTAATATTTTATTTTATAGCATAAGTTGTTACATTTTGACTAACCCCAGTATAACATTTTTTCTTTGATATTAAAAGTATAAATTTATTGAATAGTTTATATTTTCATAAAAGCTTATTACCTATAAATTTAAGTTAATTAAAAAAAAAATTAGGTAACTGTTAAGGAAAAAATAAAACTGTAACAATTAGTATCACTCTGCCTATGTTATTTAGTTTTATTCTTTCCTGAAAAATTAAAAAGAAAGAAGTTGTCCTCATTTCACAGTTAAAAATTCATGTTATTTAAAAATATTTTTTAGAGCGGCCATAATCTCATTTTAGTTTCTAATTAATTTTTTGGTTTCGATTCATAGCTGAGAAGGTATTAATTTATGATGATGATCAATACGTTTAAGTTGAATAAAAAAATAAAAAAAATAATTTTAATTTTAAATGTTTTTAGAAATATCATACCCAGCAAAAAAAAAGCACATTTAGGACATTACGAGTTTTTTTTTGTTTTCAATTTTTAACGATGGTCCGGGACATTTGTAAAAGTTATTATAATACAATTTATGATTAAAAAACAATGCCCTGACCGTTTGTCTTCGATGAGTAATCGGCTGTTAATATCTAATATTTCTGTTAAAATTTTTCAATATTTTTTTTGAACATTTAAATATAAAAAGTTTATATTTTGATTAAGCAAACAAAAAATAAATAGTTTTAATAATGAGTTTTTAATAATATTTTAAATATATTTTTTAATTTCGTATTAAAATGTGTTTTAGGAATTAAATTTTTTCATACATTACACTTCAATTTCATATTTTAGTAACTACTCGTATAATTATTGTTAGTAAAATTAGTCGCCTAAATTAATAAATTCATAATCATATAAATGAGAAGGTATTCCTTACATTCCATTAAGTATGTTTATTTTTAGTAATATTTTAGTTGTTAACTTATAAGTAAATAAATTGTTTTAAGTTATTACTATAAGCCAAGGTGCAGCTGATACAGGCCAAGATTTTTCAATAGAAGTTTTATATTCTCCATCTGGGTTGAACACAGGATTTTGATCATAACCATGAGTTGTTAATCGAGTCGAATAATGATTAATAGAATAAAAATCAGCTGTTCCTAAAAGAATGGACTATTTTATAAATTATAAGTTTGAAGTTAAAAATTCTTCAACAATAAAATATTTTAATTATTATATCTATTAAAACATCCTTATATAAATTAATAACTAGTTAAAGTTTTTTTAGATGAGGATCCAAATATTATAAAAACATAAAAAATTAAGTAATTTTAAATAACTTACCCTTAAGTAATTTAATCTCTTCTTCAGAAAAAGTTGGTAATGTAGACCATGGTCGTCCTTCACTTTTACATTTTTTATCTACCCATTCTCTCATTACAGGTGGATAATCACCCTTATAAATTGGGTGACTGAACCATCCTCTCTAAAAAAAGAATGACATTATGCTAATTAGGGTTTTTAGTGCCGTAAAATGTTTGTTTATATTATAATAAAATAGTGTCCATTGTAATTTTGAATATCGATCTAAATTCATCGATATGTTTTATTAATTAAAGAAAGGTCTATTTTTACAGATTTTTTTTATTTTTTAATTTCAAACTTCATTTATTTAAAAATTAGAAGAAGAAAATTTATTAAACAATAAGAACTCTTAATTTTCATTAACTAATAATTAATAGTGAAAAATTTGTTAGTATGTTGAATAGATAGCTGAAATTAAGTCTAAAACTGTTAAAATAATTAATAACTTACTATTAAATAAAAAAAAAATATTAAAACATGATTTTGCAGATATATAATTGAGAGAGGAGAGGAATAAAGTCTTCTATGCAAATTATTAACATTTTTCATTAAGAAGTAGTAATGAAATATTTTATTATATTTATCCTTCACTCATATTAAATACCAAAAATGGGTTTATACACATTAAAATATATCTAAATTAATATTGATTATTGAGTTAAATTTTAATTTAAAAAGATTGTTTATATACTAATCTACCAAAAATTTTCCATGATTGTAAGTAGAGCAATATTTGTGGAAACACTTTTCATACCTTTTTATTGGACCTACTAGAAAGAGAGGCCCAAAAAATGAAACTTTATTAATAGTTGGTGATATAATTAAGGGGCTAAGTACTTTAACTTATATAACACCCACGAATTGGTAAAACAGGTAATTTTTGATTTAATACCATAATGTTTAAATAACATTATTATATTTAAATTTTCGTAGAAGATGAAAATCATGGAGTATTATGCTAATTTCATTACTCAGAATTTTCCTTATACCTCAAATTGATTAGCTCGTTCAGCAGTCTCTCTGTCTTCTTCCGATTCTTTATTTTTTGGTAAAAAAAAAACTGTATTAAGTGCTATACTTATATTTCCTAGCATAAAAATATTTACATCATTAGTTGAAAAATTAATTGAGAAGATTAAAGGATATTTAGCTTTTTAGTGATTAATAAACATATTTGGCTTTCATAACTAACCGAGAGGAGAGAAAAAAAGTACTATCTGATGCTAAATACTCTACGTAATTAGACGATTTTACCTTTCTGCTTTTCTCTGAATATTTCATCATATAAACGATAAACTTTTCCGTGGGCTAAAAGTTGATAGTGACCAGCCAAATAATGGCCAGTATTTCTCAAATTTAAAAAGGGTGCATAACTACTAATTGAATATCCTTTACACATTTGCAATGGTTCATTTAATGTAATCCACCATTTAACCTAAAATTTTAAAATTCTAAATAATGGTACAGAAATGCGCTCTTTGAAAAGGTTTACTAGAAAAATAAATAATTTTTGTACATTACCCTATCACCGAAATTTGAAAATAGCACTTTTGCATATTCTTTAAAATAGTCGACCATTATTGGATTAACCCAACCTCCAAGATCTTGAAGATACTGTGGAAGATCCCAGTGGTACATCGTAACCTTCATAGTAAAACATACATAAATACTTAGTATATATTAACTATTAAATTATGTATACTTTTTTGTTTATTGTTATAATAAAAAGCAAAGCGATCAATAAAATTATTTTACCAGTGGTTCAATATTGTTTGCGAGTAGTTCATCAATTAAACGATTGTAATAATCTATTCCTTTAGGATTTAGTTTGTGCATTTCTCCGGTTGGTGCTATACGAGTCCATGAAATTGAAAACCGATAAAAATTCAACTAAAACGTGTAAACCATAGTGATATTTTTAATATTGTTTTACTAAATATACATGTTTATGAATGGTTTACATTTAAATCTTTTGCAAGCGCTACGTCTTCCTTGTATTTATGGTAAGAGTCACATGCAATATCACCATTTTCACTATCTTGAATCAACTTTGAATGAAAATGAGCTATTCTATCCCATATGTTTTCACCTTTTCCTATAAGAGTAGTTCACAATGTTTGTTGCAATTAATAAATAAATAATACGTATAAAATTGTATTTCCAAAAAATGTAGTAATCTTTATTGTATAAATATTATTTAAATTTTATAAATAAATATAAAATAATTTATTCTATTTTGTTTAATTATGAAGTTTTAAATAAACATCAATCACCATCTTCATTCCAGGCTCCTTCGATTTGGTAAGCAGCAGTGGACGCTCCAAACATGAAACCATCAGGAAATTTATAATCTGTATTAAGAGTCATTGACATAATGGATGTTATTAAAACTGAAAAATATTGTTTGATTAATTCATTTTATCATGTAAATAATTTGATCGTGAAAATTTTTTTTAATAATTATAAGTTTTAGTATAAATAATTTTTGTACAAAGTTTGTGCAAAAATTAAGTTTCCCTATAACAACAAATTTATAGCAATATTTGAAGGATCTTGACATGTTTAGTAAATGTTGTAATATATGTTAAAGTTAGCCATGATTTTTTTTTACATCATTTTAAGTGCTAAGTGTTAAAATTTTAATCATCTTTCACATTCTTTTAATATTTGTGCTACTGCCATATAATTTCTCTAAGTGAAAAAAAAGACTTATTCTTACTCATGCAGTTTGCTTTTTAAAAGGCAAAAATTTCGGCAAAATGTTTGATGTAATTCTCAAATAAATAAAGAAACAAAAAATCTACTTAAAATGTAGTAAGTACTCTAAAAATAAATAGGTAATTCACGGATTGGCAAAATAAAAAGTTCTCTTCTAAAAAAGCCAAAGCCGTTTTATAAAAATGTTAGGTTATGGTTACTTAATTTCTAGAGAATGTAGAGTATTTTTGCCTTGTTATCTAACTTATTAAAGAAAGAATAACCAATGCTAATGATAATTATGAAATTTTAAAAATGAATTCAAAACAAACATGGTGTTAGCTGTCAAAAAGTTATATCTGTTTCACAGTAAAATATGCGCCTTCAAAATTCATGAATAAGCTTGACCCATGCAATTTTAAGATTATTACTTTTTAATGATGTCTCTCCAGACATCATTTCAAATGATTACTACCAACTTCTAAAGCTAAATGTTTACTTGGATAAATTTGATAACAGAGAGCACTTTGATAAAGGCAATGAACTCCATTAAAAGATTTTTTCATTAATTAGACCATTAGAAATATTACCATCACTACATAAACGCATAAAAATGTGGTCTAAATGGAAAATCGTATTTGAGTGACAACCAAAAATGAAAGATTTTTAACGAAAATCTTTTCGAAAACGAATATTTTTGTACATTCTATTTTACAAATAGGGAAACTATTTTTTTGTAGGCCCTCATATGTTTACTTCTATACGTTTTCAGTAGAGCATATAATAGAAGGGTTAAACTAAAATTTTTTAAGTATATGAAATATTTTCAACTTTTGGTTAACGTCGCGATCTCAATTAAAACTTGTCTTTAAAGAAACAGTTTTATTTTACGAGTCGTAACTACTACTGATATGGATATATCTGAAAATATTTCAAATAATATAAAAATCCATGATACTTTTAATACTTTCATATTGTATTTATTTTCAGAGAGAAAACCCTCAAAATATCAAGAAACGTAGTTTTTCTATGAAGATAATAATATTTAAATAACTTAAATGAAAAAGAAACCTTTTTTCATGTGCAATTTTTATTTTATTCAAACATGAATGGTTCATATGAATTACAATGAAATAATATAATAATAATATAACATCGTTCAAAAAATTACAATGAAAAATTATTGTAATTTTATATTTATATTTAATTACTCGAAAATACTTACTAGTTTGATATACTTCAAAACTATATATTTTTGTTTATATAGATTTAATAATTAGTATTATTAAATAAAAGTTTATTTATACATATTAACACTCGAACTCAGTAATTTTTAGAAGATATATGCTGCTATTGATAAAAAATAAATGAAAGAATTGTACGTGTTAATCATTATATATATACTTAAGTATATACTTATAATTATATATTTTATCACGATAAGCGTGACGCTTTAATCCAAAAGGTCAGAGAAACATTTTTTATTATTGAGTGCCATAATATATATGATATAATTCTTTTTTATATATTTCAAAACGATACTTTATATGTTTTTCTAAATGCATTAATACTTTTTAATTTATATCATTGAGTATTAAAAATGTACAAATCACATTTTTAAATTTATTTATATTCTTTTTTAAAACAACATTTGCTATATAACAATATGGTTATGTCATAAACGTAAACGTATTAATCATTTTATTATATAATAAAACAATAAAAAATTAGCCAATGCTGGAAAAATTACTTAGTGATGTCCAATTTTCAACATTTGGTTTTTTAATGAAAGAGTTCGATGACATTATTTTAGAAAAATTAATTGCGGAAATGAAACATTTTTTTTAGAACATCTTGAGCGTTTAAAAACTTTATTAAAAATTCTCATTGCCGCCAACGTTTTTCGACTTAAATCCTAACATTTTTACTAAACCAGCCCAGAGACATTCCTAAGATACTTTAAAAATTTTATTTGAATTCTGTTGAACTTTGATCGAGTTATGAGTTTTTTTTTCTCAGCACTCAGCTGTTTGATTTTCTTGGGCAAATTTTCTCCATGAAAACAATTTTTGTTCCGTTTTGCTTATATACCACCGTATATGTACTTAATAGACCGATTTTTTCAACCATGCGTTCAAAAGATCACAAATTGTATCTACTTGAAGACATTTTCCTTAAAAATTGAAAAACATTCTGTTGTTCTATTTGAATAGTGGAAATCCTCAAAAAATTGTTGTTATTTTTTTTTGAATTTGTCATAAGTCTTTTGTATTGTAATGTAATTTTTTTTTTTATAATTTAAATAAATTATTTCAATAAAAATCATAGTAATCATTTCAAATCTCTTGATGTTTAAACAGATGCAACAATTTAAATATTCAGAACTATATTCCGTATAGTTATATTTTATAATATACTAATATTTAGAAATATTACGGGACTAGTTTAATTTATGATTTTGTCCGCTGATATATTGTTGAATTTCATTTGAACCTATATTTTATTTTTTTTTATATATGAAAATTCGTTTTTTACTTATAGTAATAATGTCATAAATTAGAGGTTTAGATAAAATCTAATTGTTGATTTGAAATCAGCGTAAAAATTTGTTTAGAAAAAGTATACTTTTGTTCTTGATGAAAATTTTTTGTTTAACAGTTTAGACTAGTATTCCCTTAAACGGATAATTCGAAAACCCCTCTAGGGTGTTAAACTCCTGGGGAGCTAAAACCCCGATATTCGGTTTATGCATACAAATGCCGTATTCATACAGAGTTTGAACATTTTTGTTTAAAGTAATACTATGTTTTTAATGAACATATTATGTACATTGTTTTCATTAATTATATGAGGAGGTTTCATAACAATTTAAAATCTTACATATGTAATTTAAAACAAAAATATATACATACATCTAACACAAAAATAAAATCGTCATCGTTAAATAAATAATATTTTAAAAACCTTTTAAGTTTGGCGTTAAAGCTAAAAACAGAAATACATTTTTAACATTATTTCTATTTTTTAAATATTACAATATATTTGTATTTAAATTTATTAATGTATTTAAAACGTGTTTTTTTTTATATATTATTCAAAATATTATAATAAACTAAATTTTACTAATAAATTTAAATTATTTGCAAAAAAAAAAAATAGTTATCATATCTTATTTACTGTTCTAAATACTTATAATTATTTATAAATTTAATGATACAATATTTAGTTTTGTACAGCCATTCCAAATATTAAGTTAAAAGAGTAAAATTATTATTATAGTTCTCTAGTTACTTCATTCATAGTAAAATATTCTAAGTAATTTAGAAATAAAATATGCTTTTAAAATTTTGTTTTTATTTTACGTTTTTCCATAGTTTTTTTGATCTATTAGAAGCCAACTTCAAAGTCAATGATCTAAGTTATCTTATTAAACATACCGGGTGGGAAATTATTTCTAAATTGTTAACTCAAACTCCTGATGAATTTAACTTTGAAGCAAAAGTGTATTTTAAAGAAGAGACTCTAAACGAGTGGACTCCTAATAAAGTAATTATTAATGAAACTAATTTTGAAAAAAAATTTAAAGAGACTACACAAATTTTATCCAGTTATTATACGTTGGAGTTAAATACTATTTTGAAGTTTTTAAATAGCTATTGGACCAACTACAGATCATATGCAAATCTATTGACTATTGATATGATGATAAAAACGATACAGGAATTACAAATAGTATTAAATCGAATGATTACAATATTAACATTCTTATTTAAAATGTCAAATAAAGAAGAAAATAGGTTAAAAAATAACAACTACGGCAATAAAACCCATGAAGCTATTTCACTTTTTCAAGATTTGTTGATTAATATTTTAAAATATTTTGGGGACTACGATAATAAATCAGTAAAAAAACTATTCAATTTTTTAGACGATTTTTTTATGGAAAATTTCCGACATATTGAAAATAATAATGATTTTGTTATTATTTCTAATATTAATTATGTACTATATATTATAGATACCTATGAGGTCTTAATAGAATATAAAATAAAAACTGTTAGACAAATAATTGAAGAAAGAATTTTTGATTTAATAGATGTTAATCAAAAGTTAGGTTTTAATTTTGATGAAAATAGTCAAGTAATTGGAGTAAATTTTATATAGAAGATTAGCCACCAACAAAACCATTGTAATTTTTTTAAAAATTTGTTAGTAAAATTTATAGTATTGTAAAAGCTATTAAAAATGGAAAACTTTTATCGTAAGTCTAAGAATTCAACGTTTCTTGTTTATTTTTTTATAAGTAACATAAAATTGTTTTTTTTTAGGTTTACATTTCTTATAAATAAAATGTTTTTATAATACACTATTTATTTTTAATTTTAAAACTTATTCAATTAAATAATAATATTAATGTTATTTAGTTTTACTTATGTTTCTTAATCATATAAGTTCAATAAATATGATCATAATTGTAATTTTTTTAGTTTTAAAATTATCAATATTCCTTTAAATTATTAAAAGCTAATTTAGCAAAGAATTTAAAACGATTTTCTGAAGGTTAAAAATAATAGTTATTTCAAATAAATACATATTAGTGTTTTACATACAATGTTTAATGTATAAATATCAATAAGTATTTGAAGGTATAGAACCCCTAAAATTAGATATTGTTATTAAACGCATACTTCAACTCCAGTTTATATTTTAAAATGGTAATACCATATGGGATACCAGTCCAAAAGTTGTTATCTTAATTTTATTATTTTCAATCTTATATACTAGTTAAATATGTATGTGTAAGGGAAGAATCAGTTCATCAATCCATTATTGTAATAATTACTATTAAGTATTGTGACTCTATTAAAATTTATTTTATTCACAAAAATTTGATTTGAATAAATGTGTAAATTTACAACACAAATAATCAGAGTATAAAAATGNTATTCACAAAAATTTGATTTGAATAAATGTGTAAATTTACAACACAAATAATCAGAGTATAAAAATGAAAAAAAAAATAACTTTTAATACTTTGATTAGAAATTTAAAATTAACAAAAATAGCTTCAATTTTAAATACAATATTTTATAAATTTAACCAGGACGGCTCTGATTATTAATATTATTAAAATCCAAAAGTAAAATAATTATTAAAAAAATATGAATACATCGAAAGTTATAGAACTTGCTATTACATACTAGACTATCCTGTATATACATTTGAATTATTTTAATTTAATTAAATATTGAGCTACTAAATATTATTGAATAGTTAAAAATAATAATGATTTGAAATTTATTGTTATTAGTTAGAATATAATAATTCTTATTTTACGGTGACATGGTATTATGTGTCTCTAATATCATAAATTTTAAACCCAGCTGAATCAATTTACCATTAAGATATTTCTAATTTTTTAAACTAAATGATGTCTTAAATTATTATTTTTATAATAAATTTTGAACAAACTTTTATTACCTATTCATCAGATATGCTAATAACAATTGTATGAATTTTATTAAGTTTATTTCAACAATAATTTTAATACTACCATTTGGGATTTACGAATAATGATGCGAATGTGATGTAGCAATGTGTTATGTCACACAAGGTAATTTTGCGAAAACGAACTGATTGTTCGCTACAAGGGTTGAAGGAATCCATAATATAAAAAAGAAAATAGAATGTACAGAGTGGTTGTTTAACTATGCCTGACGCAGTATCATTAAAATTATAAATATAATATAATTTTTTTTTTTTTTTTTGAAGTTAGTGTCCTAGGTTCTATTATATTCAGAAAACAATTAGGTTCTACTTTCACTTATCCCCTTAAAATTTTATCTACTTACTTTATTTATTTATTTTAATGAAAAATATATGTTTGACCAACTTACAAACTAAAAATTGATCTATCTTAGAAACTGACTAATCAATAACAACTTTTGGGAGAGAATTTTAAGAAATATTAGCATTTTAATACAAACAAAGTAGGGGAATTAGTATGATACATTAATGTCTAGAGATAAAAAAAACAGACCCAGGCTTCACCTACAGTCTTTTTGTTAAAGAATTAATAAAATCCAAAATATTGGTCCAAAAGTTGTTATTGTCTGGTCATTTTCTTAGATTATCATTTGTAAGTTGGTTTAACATATATGTTTTTATAAAAAACTAAAGTTAAAAAAATTTTATGGAGGAAAGAGGGAAGATAGGAACACAATTTTTTTGTCTTCAAAATTATAGAACGTAGGACTCATTATTTATTTATTTATTTCAATATTTATTTATTTTTGTAATATACATTACACAACATGATTAAACAGAAAAAAAACAAACAAATAAATATTGAGTACGCCACAGACGGCAA